TTAATAAACTGTAAGCCAAGCTGTTGATAAAATATGTCTGTTGCCAGGAGGGTTCCTTGCAGACCAAATATAGTACATATAGTTTCCACTGTAGATTTGGAGATGATCCAGAAATTAAGAATTATCTGCACAAATTATCCTAAATTTGTTTCAGATATTTTCATCAAACCTGTTCTGTCTTACATAGGAATTACCCACTGATGATGATATAATCTGGTGGCAACTTATCTATTAATATCATATTTTTCCATTAATTTCTATTGATATAGTAATTCTTAATTGAACTCAAATGCTTTGTTTTCACCACGTTGACAGAATTTTTTTGATGTCATGACTGTTATACAACTAGCTGTTCCCAAATTTTGATGGTCCAGAATGTACAGATTGAGTTTTTGATCATTGGAATTTCATTCAACAATAGAAAAAATATATTTTTCTAATGTTGACTCAAATTACTCAGCCAATTTTATCTGCAATCCACAAACATACTCTTCAAGTGTTGTGTTAATGAAAGAGTATGCTGTTTTAAAATAATTTGAAGTGTTAATACCATCCTTAAGCTGACCTTCCATTAGTTTGATTTTTGCCTATGTATAAAAAGCAACTTAGATTTCACGCAGTCAGTAACAAAAATTGTAAGTACTCACTTATTAGATTGTACTTATTTGGAAGACATCTTGTCTTCTTTTCCTAGACCAGGATAATTTGGATTCCAGTTTAAAATTTTAACTGCCTGAATTGGGCCTTTCACAAAATAAGTTACTATGAGGGAAGGGTGCTTATATATAAACCAGCATAACCAGTTCCAAAACATTCAAATCTGATTTGATTTTTTATTTAATTTTTATCCCTCCTTTATTATTGTTTATAAAAAAACTCAAGGCAGTGAACTTACCTAATATTCCTTCTTCCCCCTGTTTTTCCCACAACAACCACCCTGTGAGGTGAGATGGACTGAGAGAGTGACTGGCCCAAAGTCACCCAGCCGACTTTCATGCCTGAGGTGGGACTGGAATTCACTAGAGTCAAGATCTTTGAAGAAATCTCTACTGATTATCTTTAATCAAAACCTTCTGAGAAAGGTTTTAATCCAAATGAATTTGGCTGGTAGATTTAGAATCCATCTTTCCCAATTTGCAGTTTATGGACTGAGTTAGTAAAAAGAAGTAATAAAAGTTACCTGAATAATCTACAAATAATTGCTTATGTTGTCTTTACTTAACTAGTGCTGCTTACTTACAGCATAAGTCATTTTCCTTTCACCTTCTGTTTATAATATATATATAGTATATAATATATTATAATATATATATAGTATAAAACTCAATTGTAATGCATCCATCTATTACATATTTTAGTATATGTGAATAAGACTCAGGTAGTTCTGTTCCTGTGATACTTTCCTCCTGGTAGATAAAGATAGTATATTAGAATCTGGATGATACCATTCAGTGATATAAGGTGGCTTAGAAGTGTGCATGATAATGATATGGGAAAATAGGAAAACAATAGGAAATAGGAAAACAACATAGATCAAATAAAGCACACCAATTAATAGAGAAATGGAACAAATACTTGGATTTTTCACAAGTAGATGTTAATTTAATACTTTATCCACAGCAATAATAGAAAATGGTCATAATTGACTTCTCAAAGTTAATCATAGTTTATTTTTTACCCTGAAAAATTATAGGTGAGAATGTATCTCACCTGTAATTTTCTTTAAAAGTTTAAATACAGTCTGTGATTGAAGGTTGCACTACCTACTATCTGTAGAAAGAATGTGGATGGAATGCAGAGTTTCTCATAAGTATTTTATGTACCATCAAGCTGCAGCTGACATTCATTTCATGTTTCCAGCTGCCTCCAGTTTATAAGCATGCTGAGGCTGGTGGCACCAAAAGATAATGATCTGGATTCAACTACCAGCAAATCTGATTCTGGGAAGATGGCCTCACAGTCCAATCAATATTGCTTGTACCAGATCTTAGGTGGGACAACATATACCCAACAAAGTCACCTATAGCTCAGGTACCATTTTGGCCAGGTGTAAACTCACATCTGATCAATATCTGCCATTGCAAGTAGCAGATGCTGGCAAATGATCAGGTGAGTCCTAAGTGAAGTAAATGGCATTACCAGTATAAATTGATAAAAGAGAATTTAGCTCTCCAGAAATTACTTAGATAGTTACAGCTGTTTTAATTAAAGATAGTTAGATCTTTAATTAAATCACAACTGTGATTTTTAATTAAATCACAACTGTACATGTTTAAATCATAGTACATGATAAGGCTGAAGAATTACTGCATGTAATGTGTGAATATTAATTTTTAATGCTAGGTCCAATAAAGGTCTAACATATTTGTATTGCTATTCATATATTTTCTTAATAAAGGAGAATATTTGTAGCTCAGGATTGACATGAGGGGTCCTTGGTGTTCTCTGAGCTGGGTTGTTTTCTTGCAGACATTTCATTACCCAAACTAGGTAACATCGTAAGTGCACTAATGATGTTACCTAGTTTGGGTAATGAAACAGCTGCAAGAAAACAACCCAGCTCAGAGAGGATCAAGGACCCCACATATATTTTCCTTCTTTAACTCCGAAGCTCCTCCATGATGTCAATAACTAGTTGCTGGGCAGATTGCTTTTTGCAGATAGCATCACAATAAAGGTACTATTTGTAGCAAGGTGCAGATTTTTATAGAACATTTGACTTCTGGGTCTTGAAGATCAGCTGTGTGTATTACCCCAACTGTTTTTCATCTTATAATCTTTTGTTATATTTAAGCTATAAAATATTAATTATTCTCTACCATAGCCTTAATCTTTGAGTACTGAGTGTTAAATACTGTATGACTTGTTAAGAAATGGCATCTATATGATAAACTGCATAATAGTACCTACCTATAAAGTTCTATAGAACTACCATTAATTGGACATGTGGAATGAGAAATCTCAGAAATAAATCTGTGATCTATTATTTTTATTATGTTTAGTGTTTGTTTTGAATATGAAACAGCAAAATTATGCAGATATATTCAAAGAGAGTGCAATTTGCATTCTTGCCTATTCTTTCAGGTCAGGCAAATTTAATTTTAGCTGCCAGAGAGGAAAAACTGTCAAGTAATGGGTGTTTCATTTCCTTGAAACAAACAATACATTTTAGCAATAACTACAACCAATCAACTCAGAAAGATACTTGTTATAAATCCTTACTGAAACAAAATGTGCCTAGGTTTGCAATCTGAAAAAAATTGCAAAAGAACATACAAATGCCAGCACACAGTTAGAATCAACATATTATTCTTATTTCACTTTATATTTACTACCTTGGTATTATGTAATGCTTGTTTCTTCATGATGATCTTACATTTTCTTGGTATGCAAAATCTTTAATCCTTTAACAAAACTTGGAGTTTTTCCAGCAAAGATAAGAGAAACTTGTATGCTGTCAAAACATCACTTTGATGGAATAAAAAAGCTCATTTTGTAACAATACAGTGCTGTTTCATAAATAATTTCATAGTTTGGAAATGCATTACTTGGAAGTATATTCCTGTACTTTATATTAAAATAATGGGCCTAATAAGTTTGAAATATATCACTGTAAACTTTAAAAAAGCCTTTTTCTGAGTATACATCATCATCATAACAATAAATTAACCCAGTATCAAAGAAGAAAAAACAGCAGTCATCTACAACATACAATGTAAAGCCTGTAACAGCCACTATTTAGGACTAAAGCTAAAAAGCAAACAAAAAGACCAGAACATCACCAGCAATCAACACCCAGGTCAGCAGGAATTAACACCAAGAGGAATACCAGACAAAACAATCAAGCATTAAACAATACCCTAATCAATTACCAATTCAGGCATAATTACTGTTTTAATTATTTTAATTGGTTTTAATGGTATGTTTTGTTATACACTTCGCAAAGTCACTTGGTGTGAGATGGGCAGCCATATAAATTTCATAAACAAACAAAAAATAATAAATTATATCCATGGTTTATTTCCAGCATAAAGAAGCATAGATGACTTAGTGCTTGTACATGTTTGGGCATGGTATTTTATGCAGTGCTACAGAATATCTCCCTACTGAATTTTCTTATATTTTAGATCATGACATTTATACATGATGTAGATGTTTGTTAATTGGTGTTATCAGAATGATGTATATTTCCTTTTTAGTTTGTTGCTGATGACTATTGCTAATATTACTGTTATGACAGGTTCATGATGTTGAATAGCCATTACAGTAATGGCTTTCTTATTATTTCAATGTACTATCTGTCAGACATGCATCATTATTTTGGAATCGGCAAGCATTTCAGGTGAAAATTGTATTGCTAACCAGTATTTCAGTTGATTTTGAAAATTGTCCCTTAAAACAGGCAGTATGGTATCAGCTGGAACTTCCTGGTGAGCAGAGAAAATGAAGGTAGCAAAACATGCTAAACCTTATTCCCTGTTTATCTGACAATATCAAACTCAGTCCAGATTTAATTTCATTGAATCAGGATTGTGTATGATAAATTTTATCAAAATGAACCTAATTTGATTGAGATCTTATCCAGTGAAGATTTTTATATTATGATCATCACAGATAAATTGCTAAAGAGGCTTCATTCACCGCAACTAAAAATTATTGGAGTTGTAATTCAACACATCTGGAAGATATGTACCATATTGATGAGAGTAATGTAATAACGTAACTAGCAGTATGATAGTTTTGCTCAAATTAACTATTTTACGCCCCCCTTTCTTTTAATAATTAGTTCTCAGGTTAATGTTTCACATCACTTTTGCCAGTTAAATAATCTGTACTTTCACATTTTAACACCTGTCATTATTCCTTATGAGATAAAATTATAGAAAGTAGATAATTAAAAGCACAATGCTTGGTGTTTTAATAAATGTATTCTTAAGATGAGATTTTATTTGAAAGCATGATAAATTTTGTTACTGACTTTTTCCCTTGTTTTTTTAAAGGTATATAAAAAGAAAACTGAAGCTGCTAAGAAAGAGTATCTGAAGCAGTTAGCTGCGTATAGAGCAAGCCTTGTATCAAAGGTAACATGGGTTTCAGGGGTCATAGAATTTTGCAGGCTGAAATTATGAGCAGGACTAGAAATAAAAAAAATAATCACTACAAAGTTGGCTTCTCCAACTTGGTGTGGTATAGTGTTGGACTTCAAATATCAGAATTCCAGTCTAGTGACTGTTACAATTGCCAAGCAGCAGTTTACCGGCTGACAGTTTTGACATCTTTTCCTAGCATATCTGTAGCATATTTTATTTTGTTTGGATTACTTTAAAAATGGCCATGTTCATTTAAAAATGCTGATAGAAATATATGCTGGTATAATATTGGAAGATGTGCCAGAGCATTCTCAAACCTTTTTCCCATTCTGAAATGTGCCAGTGGCAAATGAATAGTGCCACTAAAATTAATCTTGAATGCTTTATTTGAATCTTGAATACTTTATTGACCAAGGGTGATTAGACACACAAGTAATTTGTCATGGTGCAGAAGTTCTCAGTGTAAATGCAAAGCAACAGAACCATCATCATCATCATTGTTGTACGAAGGTGGTTTGTAATCCACTTGTTTAATATGTAGGAGTGATTAAATAAAATATCAATTCACAAAGCATTCTAGATAATACTATTCAGATTGTGAAATTATTTAAAATACTGATTAAACTTTTCCATTGTTCTAAGTTGCATCTTTTATTAGTTTTGCATGTAGTTTTAACAAATTGTACAGCATTTTTTTAAGATATGGTGAGCTGCAACTTTGTTTCTGAAAAACAAGCACTTTTCGTTACTAATCCATGGCTTTTGCTGTTGTTATTGTTGAGCTAACTAGATTTCTCACTTCATCTGTTGAAGAAATATTCATAAATACTTTGTTTCCAGTTCTAACAGAATACAACATAAAAATCTATCCCAAGAAATTTAAAAGATAGGAAACCCATATCCACTTCAATGTAGATCAAAATATAGAAAGATTTGTTTATTTATGTATTTATTTATTTAATTTTTTTGCTACCCATCTCCCTATGAGACAACTTTTACAGTGAATGACAATTCTCCAGACTTTCAAGCAGAATTTTCTTCAAATGCCAGGAATTCAATTTGGGACCTCCAACATGGAAACCAGGCATTGTACTATTAAGTTATGATCCATTTCAGTATGTCAGATACATGGTAACAAATAATTTATAATCTTTCAGCCTCTGAAGAATAACATTGTTTTAAAAGAAATGCTTACCTTCAAGTGATCACAGGTTTCTGAGATTCATGCATAAAAAGAATGCTTTGTATTCATGTTTGGTTCAAGGATTTCTACATTGCATTCAAGAGGGCTGAATAATAGTTTGAATGCAAAAGGTTCTCTTGAGTTCTGATTACACAGGAGGGTTAATTAATGTTATGCATTTATCAGACCCAGCTAAGATCTGACTGCCAGGGCTTCATATTTATTCTTCTAAATATATGTAATTCTTATATCCTGTAACATAGAATAGCACGTACATTTTTACAATTTATAAAGATTAGATTACCTTCAAAAAATCACACAGAAAAATAAACTTCTCTTACTCAGAAGTTTAAAATATATTAGCTTTTGAATTAATATACTTAAACTTTTCTTCAGGTTGCTAAATCCTAAAAATATAGTTTTAATATTTTTGTTTAACTTTGTAATAGTTTAGTGGCTTTCCTTGTGCCCTTTGTGTCTTCACTCTTTAGCATACATTCTTAAGATTCTTACCCTTAGAGAAACTATAAACATTATGAACTGTGTGAAAATTATACACACATCCACACAGAGACATCCCTCCCCCTTTTCAAATTATTGCCAGTAGTATTTACAGACTCCAAAGTTTCACCAGAATTATTAAACAAACATTACAATATTTCAATGCAAACTCCATACATATATGCAATATCACAACATGCACACAAACTTGTGTCATAATGGTCATTTTTCATTTGTCCCTTCTTGCCCTAGCTTTGATGCCTCCAGATGCTGCATATTTGTTTTTATTGCAGGGAATTTCAATTTCAATATCTACTCTTCCTTAAATTAATGTTTTTGTTTGTTTGTTTTATTTGGGTATAACTTGGATCAGTTGTACTTTAACTCCAAATCTGAAGGCAGGGTTCTAAACATTCAATGGGTTTTCAGTTCTCTATAGCAGGGTTTTTCAACCAGTGGTACGGGTACCACCTGTGGTACATTGGCACCTGTCAGGTGGTACGTGACCATCCTAGAAAAGTGGTAGCAGGGGAGGGGAATGAACTACTTATGACAGCACTGCATAAGCCTGAGCGAGAGATGGCTGGGGCTGCAGGGCTGTCAGGGTTCAGCGGAAGCACCAGGATCATCAAGTTTTTGATACCTTGCTAGGCGACTGGTGGTACTCGGATGTTGCCATATCCTAAAAGTGGTACAATGGGTGAAAAGGTTGAAAAGCCCTGCTCTATAGTATATGTAACATTTGGATAGAACAACTGTTAGGAATCATTCATAAAATGAATTTTATGAAGAATTAAATTTTATTACCATTTTATTGGTATAAGAATGAAAACACCATTGACGTGTTTTACTTTTTTGGGTGCAACTTTTGTGTTAGAATTTTTTAAAAATCAGCATTTCATATTTCTCATCTTTTCATATACATATACATACGTACGTACATACGTACGTACGTACGTACGTACGTACGTACGTACGTATATATATTCTGTGTGCATGTCACCAAATGTGTATACATACCACACTGCATAAATGAAAGACTTACTCTTACCTACGCACTGAGAATTGAATTCCCTTTAACATTTCCATTTAATTTTGTGCAGTTTACTGATAAAATATATTTTTGTTGCTATCATTATTAAAGGCTTGATGGAGGCAAATGAAGTTATCATTTTTTCCTCTGTACATTATTACAGATAATGAAGCAATGTCTGTAATGTGCATATAGGCTGATTGGTGGTGATGGTGCATATATCAGAAAGAATACAAATGGCTCTCACAGGCTCCAGTGACCCCAGAAAGCTTAGAGTAACATTAAACTTACTTTGATTTGAAAACCGATATCAAGGTCATAGAATAAGGACATATATGAATCTTCCAATGTTTGTTTTGACATAGTACCACTTGCTTTCAAAGGAAGATTTTATCATTTTTTCCTGGCATTTTTCAATAGTTATTCCTTCAACTTAAGATATGAATTATTATTCAGGTACATATCTTCTGGCAAGCCCTTGGGAGTTAATACCGTATTCTTTACTACATTTATGTGAGCACATCAAGTTTATAATACAGGTATTAGAAAATAACAATGCAGAAAACTGAGAAAAATAGTTATAGAAACTCTTTTTAATGTTATGTGAAAGCTATTATTAAACTGATTATTCCAATCCCTGCCCCCTCCTCAAAATATTATAACTGTACATCACACATATATTTAATGCATTGGAGGATGATATAGAATGCTTCAGTATCTATCTTACAACTTACAAATTCAAGAAAGCCTCTTATAAAATAATATAACTAATATTATATAAATACATATAATATATATTAATAATATATAAAATAATAACTTCTATGCTGGTATATAAGGAGAAAAAGTGGAGAAAAGAAGGTTCTGAATCTTACAGTCCATTTCCTACCTGGAACAACTAGAGTGATAGGAAACATAACATACTGAGGTCTGAACAGGTTCAGTTTTCAAAATTTGGTATAACACAATCAGGTTTCTTCATATCTTATCAATTACCCAGATGTTTATAATAAATTGCCTCTGAAATGTAGCAAATAGGACATGGGGAAAATAAAACTACAAAAGGCTGTAAATAGATGATGATGATTATCTAAAGCAGCAGCCCCAATCTTTTGGGCACCAGGCACTAGTTCCATGGAGAAAGATTTTTCCACAGAGCGGAGGGGACATGGGTTTGTGTGCTGCCTGCATCCCATGGATGGGGCTTCGCTTGTTTGTTCGGCCCAGTTGCCGGCATGCCATGGCCCAGTGCTGGTCTGTGGACCTGGGGTTGGGGACCCCAGATTTATATGACTATATTTAGTTAATATTAACTGTGTTTTTTGAAATACCTTGGTCAGTCTTTGGTAGAAGTGTTCCCCAAGGCATTTAATCTGCTCATCTCTCACTTGTTCAACACTTCTCACTGTAGTAAACAATATGAGAAATCCTTAGTAAAATTACTCAAGGAACAAGAGAAACAAAGAACAAAATTATGAGCAAATAGAGAGATATTCTATGTTTGAATCAAGCTGCAACATTTATCAAAAAGATCTATAGGGACTGGAAAGAAAGTACATTTTGCATAATCAATAGACAAATGAGAATTGAAGCAATTGTTTCTTTTATCATGATAAGAAATTAAAAGCAAAATCAATGCCAAATGTCTAGTTTGTAACTTGGGTCATCTTTGGTTTTTATGTTCAAAAGTATCTATCTTTTGACAAAATGGCATCACTAGTGGAGCCCTACCCATAGTAATATGTCATCTTCATATTCCGCAAATCTGAAAATGATGTCAAGTAAATACAATGAGAAAGGAAGAGAAATGAAAATAAGTTGCATTGTGCAAACATAAGTTTAGATATCGCCTGGGATTGGATACGTTTTCCTGCTCTAGATTAAGTTTTAATGAATTGCATATTCATTTATTGTATTTCTTTTGTACAAAATGTGACAGTTCATTTTTCAAAAATTATAAAGTATAGTCTTAAACTTTAAAAAATAATACAGTGATGCATATAGCCTTTACAAAAACTATTCTGTTCTGCATAGATAACAGTAAAACTTCAGAGACTTAATCAGCTTTGTCTGAGTCAATTTTGTCAGTGGTTGTGGGAGGGCAAGTTTAAAAAAAGTACAGACTATTTGGGTCTTGTCTCTCAGTATAACTGCGCATCTCAGACTTCAAATAATTGGTGGTGGTTTTTTTTTTAAAACAGAGCTACAATGAGCCCGTGGATGTTAAAGTATCCCAGCAACCTCAGATGATGAGCCCAAAGCAGCCAGTATTCCATGCATCCACACAGCCTCATTCAGCAATGTACTTGGGTTCCCATTACCACCAACAAACAGGAATGAATTCTCATATAACAGCCATACATCCCAATATTCCAAGGAATATAGCACCTAAGCCTAACAACCAAATGCCAGTGACTGTTTCAATAGCCAACCTGGCTGTAACTCCTCCACCAACCCTTCAGATGAGTCCTCCAATTCATCCACATCTCAGTATACAACAACATCAGACACTTACAATGCAGCAATCGATTGGAAATCAGCTGCCAATGCAAGTGCAGTCTGCTATACATTCACCAACAATGCAACAAGTAAGTCCTTACCAATTTTTAAGCTGTTACCATCCAATATATGTCATGAGTAGCTTCTTTTTTTTTTTTTTTACTTAATCAGCCAGGGCTTATGTAAATTAAGGAAACTTGGCACATGAGCATTCCATTGACCTTTGTTAAATGATATCTGCATCCTCAAATAAAGTATTAAATATAAGAAAAGAATTAATTCTGATCTATAACTTAGGTGTACAGACTATTCCACAATGACCTTAATTGTTGAAAGTATAGGTTTGTTTGCAAGAAAACATTACAATATGACATCATTTGAGAAACATCAGTGAGAGGGAACTTATTGGGAATGTTCATATGGTGATGATTGTCAATTCACAAGTTATAATCCTTGGAGAACATTTTTTCCATGGTGAAAGAACAACTAGATCCTCAGCTCCTTAATCATATAAAACATTCCAGTTTTAATATATTGTGTGGAAACTGGCATAGCCATAACATAATTCTGTTGATTATATCTCAATTTAACCTACTTTGTGGTTACCCTGAATACATGGTATTTCTGAACCTAAATTTCAGTTGGACATTCTGATTTAAACCTACAACCTTCAGCACATTTCCCTCTGCTTTAGAACATATACCACAACTATATTCAAGTTCCGTGTGATGTCTCCAAGCTAAGAAGTGGGTAATAGCATAGAAGTAGGAATATTATAGAAGATCCTGAGCTTTCACTACTTTATTGTAATGGAGAACAGTGGGTTGCACTATTAGTTCTGTTAGAGTATGGCATTATTTAATTTGATAGAGTACAATAGGAGTGCCATCCATTTATATCATAGCCTGAAAATAAGTTTTTAGATGTGTTGTCTCCTGTTTTGTAAGTCTGATCCTTGTACTATGTGTTATTCATATGTTTTAAATTAGCACATACCAAAATTATCTAACCTTTTTCATAAGCGCAAAGATTTAGATTTTTTTCCCAGTGTGCTTTAACTTATATATGGTTAAAATGAATCCATTATGTTGCCTTTTCACCTAGAGAGTTTGCTTTACTGAAGTTTCTCATTGGTCTTATTTTCTTCTAAATTCATTAGCAAAAAAAAAAAAAAAGCTAGCTAGTTAAGTTCCTTATAATATTCATAAACAAAAACTATTATGCATTTTCTTTGTAGTTGTCATAAATTTAAGTATATCTTATACATTTTATTTTCAAGTAAATATTTGATGAATCCTAAGAAGTAGATTGCATAAATATGGATGTCTCAATTTGCACTGCTAATGACTCTTTATAACTTAGATATTCCTATTTAACCATGAAACGTTATTGTTTTCATTAAAACAACAAAAATATTCTGTGGTTCAAAAACTACTTCATTTTGATTTGTAGTATAATTCTTGCATTGTAATATCCACAGGCTAACTTACTGCTAATAAAATAACAGAGTTGGAAAGGACCTTGGAGGTCTTCTAGTCCACTCTCCATACTTTGTTTTTTAAGCAATATACAAATATTTTGGGATTATTTTCCTTCCTAAAATATTGATATTCTGGCTAGGAGCCAGCTTATTTTCTTACCTGTCTCCCTAAGTCAAACTGCCTATTTTCAACATTGGATTTGTACAATTGAGATATTTTAATATGTCATGTGTATATTTGTAATCATAAACAGCTAATTAAAACAGTCTGTCTCTTCCAAACAACTTTGAGTAGGAGTTCCATAATTCCTAGTAAGGTTTAGCAATGCAAATTAGAAAATGTTGTGGATTCATGTATGGAGACATGTCAAGAGAATGATCATTTCCCTGTGATTGGGATATAGTCAATTGCAGCCACATCATATGTAACCTGTTCTAATTTCCTAATAAGACTAGGAAATCAAGGTATTGAGCACGGGCAGAAACTGGGTGATTGAGTGCAGTAATAGAGTTGAGCCAGAGGAAAGTGAAAGAAGCAGTATAACCAGTGGTGGGATTTAAATATGTGAACAACTGGTTCTCTATAATCTATAATCGCTGAGTGATAGACAGATACCTACACAAATATACACACAAACAGACAAACACACAAACATGAATTTTATTATGGCTCAACTACGGCAAGGATTGCTTATATTATCTAATTCCTAGGAGAACTGGGCATGGATTTAAATATATTCATTTCTACTCTTTTATAACATTTTTTCTTTAGCACTATGATTATGCACTAGCTTTTAAAGAAAATATTGGCTTGTTTTGTCTGCAGTTTTAAAATTCAGTAAATATTTGGTTGTATTTCATTACTTTTAGCCACTTCCACTATTCACTCCTCCTCACATTGTTTTTCTGAATGTGATTTAGGAGAAGGAAAAAAATCATTAATATCTGTCAACTGTCCTTATAACCTTAAAGGGGAATCTTTGTGTGATATCACACAGACAGATTTTCAATTTCCTTGTGTAATAAATAGATGCTTTAGAATTTGGATGTAATTTAAGAGTTTAAAAAAACATCACATTGAGATTGATGAATAAATCAGTTGAAAAGACAAAACATAGATGCCTGTTGAAAATACCTCTCCAGACAGGCAGGAAATGAAATTAGTTCCCGGTAAAGTGGGAAGATGAGGGTCACAGTTTAGGTTTTGCTGGAGGCTTTTTTGCACTTACTACAGGCCCACACAAAACCCCAAGTAGGGATACAGAAATCTAATTAAAGAGCAAATGTCCCATCTGACGTCAAATTAATCTTTATCAAGTGCCCTATTTTTATTTCAACTGGGAGCTAGAAAATGAACCTTAAAATTCAAGGCATGACACAAAATGGTTGTTGATCTTATCTTGAGTGGCACATTGCATAACATTTACCACTGTCTTTGACCTCTCAGGGGCTGCTTTTGAGAATAAGTAAAATAACCATTTGAAACCCTACTTTCTCAGTGTGTATTTCTGATATTTTTCCATTAGCTTTGTGATGTAATTTTAATAAGCATTATTATAACAACAAAAATTGTCAAATTAAATCTAACAAACTGAAATATTGGGATGTTCTTTCATTATCCCACTGTTTTGCAATTAACGGCAGAAAAGAAAAGTCTTCATTAATAAGGAAATCTGCTTAGATAAAAATTCAGATTACAGCTTATTCTTTCCCGAGCAGAAGCAGAAAAGTAGATTACTAATTAAATAACATACTTTGTTTATTGTTCAAAATATAACAAAATATAAAAGTAAGACAATAACCGAAAGTAAAGAAGAACAAAAATACAAAGTGAAAAATCTTCTAATCCAAGATGGTTGGTTGGTTGGTAGGTAGGTAGACAGACACACAGACACACAGACAAGATGAGACAAAACAAGACAGATATAGATTTCAAACCAGACATTTCAAACACAGTCATGCAGTTGTTTTCTGCAGGTGCTAAAATAAAAGAAATGAACAGATCCCATCCTCGTTGCTTAATAATAATAATAAAGTTGGAAGGGACCTTGGAGGTCATTGAGTCCAACCCCCTGCTCAGGCAGGAAACCCTACACCATTTCGGACAGATGGCTGTCCAGTATAGAAGTTGGCAACTCAAAGGTTGTAGATCACAATTTTTAAGGATCCCAAATCTTTTTAAAAATATAATCAGAGTTGGAAAGCAGACTATTTATTTTAGGATTACTTAGGGCAGACATGTCAAACTCTCGACGTCACGTGATGTTGCGCAACATATCAGAGCTTTTTCGCCATTGCTGGCAATGAGGTGGACATGGTTTCCCGATGACGCGTCCAGCCTATGGGCCGGCAGTTTGACACCCCTAAACAGTAATACTGTTTAGCCTTTGGAAATAAAAAGATCCTTTTTAAAAACTGAGTTTTTTTACCCCACCTCCATGAAATGTCATTACATCAGCCCTTTCTCCATCCATCTAAAAGTGGATGAAAATGCATTTTATTATTTTTTCTCTTATTATTTTATTTATAGGGTGTTTTTCTATTTAAGTAAGCCGCCTTGCCATGTGTGAGTAGGCGGCAATACAATTTTCCTAAATAAATAAATTATTATTAAAACATAATGATGATATCTAATTTTGTAATGAATAATCTACAAGAAAACAATCAAGCTTAGAGAGCACCAAGGACCCCACAGTTTGACCCTGAGCTACAAATATTGTCTTCTATCAGTATTGGTTGGGAAAGGATGGAGATGTGACCCTCTGTAAGATGTACTGTTAGTTTTGGGTAATTCAAAAGATTCAACACCAAATGAAGGTGAAAGGTGGCAATGACAGAGCTATATGAAATCATTATTATGACCATATTTACTTCTTCTGTAATGACTTGATATGAGTACCTATATATGAATTTGCTTTATAGGAACAGGTTTGGAGTATTTTTGGTATACCTTCAGTGATGCTGGCCCAAGGTGTTCAAAGCATCCTGAAAGAAAGAGATAACCATGATGTTTGCAGACTATCGTGAGGGCAAGTTTTGACATAGTCACTAAAAATAGTCTGATACCAAATCAATCTATTAGCAAAACAAGAGACAGGTAGAAATTGTCCAGAACAGAATTTCTAGCCAGTTACATTCATAAGTGTGCAAAATTTCAACCTTGAATTCACTATACATAGGGTTTGCATTTGATTCACGGCATTCACCAGAATTCTTTCATAACTGCTTCATTAAATTTGCTGCAGAAAAATTATTTATTAGAGCTTTCGTGTCTTTGGAAACTTTATTCTTTCCATTTCTTGTCTACCCAAATGCTAAAAAATATTCATATTCATATTGAGTTTGATGCTACTTGGGCAAAGTTTAATGAGATGACAAGTAGACATCTTTGCAGTTATCTGGGATTCATTTTATCTTATGTAGTCTGAGAAAAGGGATAAAATTCTCTACAGCATCAGTTTTGCCACATATGGGATTGACTCATTCTGTGCTTGCTCTTTTGGGAAACTGAAGAGAGAGGAAGGGTTGATCCAGTTGGATTCCTGAGGTGTGTATTACCAATCTGAGTTTTCTAGCTGCCTTGAATGAAGTGGTGGTGCATGTGCCCCAAAGAAAGGGTATTTGATTAAAAGTAACTGAGGAAAATTATAGGATTTGCATTGTCAAGGATATTATATGGACAAGAATTTTGATTCCTTTCAGGATTGAAACATTGACATGGCACAGAAATTGTATTTGTTATTCAGGTGACTTTTGTTGGTATATTGATGGAAGAAATATAGCTCTTCAGTCCTATTAAACCACTTGGCAACATTCAATATCATTGACAATGGATTCTTATATCATCTACAAGGACTGGGAGTAGGAGCATTGTTCAATGGTGGGTTCAATCTTTCCTGAGTGGTTAGTTATTGACAGTACTTGTGGGGACAGAATAATTTTGTTCCTGGTTGCTATAGTGTGAGGTACCACAGTGGTTAGGCTATCTCTGCCATGCTATTAAAAATCTATATGAAACCACTGGAGAAGTCATATGCCAGTTTTTGAAGGATTATTCTCCTTCTTCCAGGATTGCCTCCATTCAATATTTCTAGTGGAGAAAAGTATAGCCTAGACCCCTATTCCATGGGGTTCCTCAGGTTTAACCAGAAATGCAGTGGAACTCCTGATCCAGTATTTGAAAGATATAATAGGAATGGAGAAAACATGTTAAAATTTAACCTTTGAAAAATGTAAATACTGTTTTTGTATAAATAATACAACTCAAGTCAACTCCAGTGTTGGCTGTGGATATTGACACATTTATTCTAAAGTGCAGAATATGACTTGAAGGTCTTCCTGTGTTCACAGCTCCGACTTTCAGATTCACAGCTATCTCATAAGATGAACTAATTGTTTGGAACTTGTCTTATGTTATATTTTTTTTCTCATTTTAACTTTGAATTTGATGAAGCCATTCATGGAACTGACATGGATTGTTTGCCTTTATCTGCTTTTAATAACTATTAAAATGCAGTTAATCATTACTGAATTATAATTATCAAGAAAGGAAACTGAATGTGCATATATGAAGAGGCTCAAAAAATTATAAAGGTCACAGGTTGAAGATTGATGTCTTACACCAAAGAATACATTTATGGATATATTGATTGAAAATACACATTAATCTTAAAAAAATTTAAAATTATATTTTGTGCATAACAACTTGATGAATATAGAGCTGGATATTGAAGTTATTTCATCTCATAGTATTCAATTAATTTATTGGATGCGTTTGATTTCTTGATGCATTTAATTCTTTTGAAGTTTTTTACGCTGGAGTTTAATTGTATATCTTAAGTTAATTTTATACAGGATTATACAAATCAGAAATGACAGGATAAATTATGATATATGGATATTTTTTTTAATTTATCGTTCTTTAAACAAAATATTAGCCTTAGTATATCAGATAGCACAATGTTTTTAAAAGGTATTCAACATTCTTTGATGCATACAACGAAAGGACAAATATGCTGCCGTTTGCTACATTTAACAGGGTTACGTGGCTCTACCACGTTACGTTTGCCTGAAGAAAACTATTACTGTTTTGTTTCAAATGTATATCTTGCGTTTTAGAGTATTCCCAAGACAACTTATAAATTATATGACTAATATAATATTAGAGTTTCACTTAAAAAAATACAAGAAATCTTCTCTGTTAAAATATCTAATATATTATAAAAAACTGCATAGATTGAGCCAGTTTTATATTTCCTGATAGGGAAATATGTAAGGCAGAAAACCATGACTAAATAAGTCTTTGTAGCACTTACATTGTTGATAACTTGTTAGCCACAGTGCTAAGGCAGTGATTGCCTTGGAAAATAGAGAAAGATATAAATGTTATCTAAAGCATTTTATCTAGCCTGGTAGCATTTTTGTGATGTGTGCATATGTTGCTAAAAAAAGAATATGTGTTAAATAAATTTATTTCCAAGTACTGAATTTGGGTGGAATAGAAATTAATAGTGAGGAGGAGGGAGATCCAGATTTCATTCTATCCCTACCATGGAAAATCAGTGGGGGCTTTGAGAACTAGTCACATTCTCTCAGCCTAACTTAGTTGTTATGATGATTATAAAGGAGAAAACAGGAAGAAGCAATCCTATGGCTATCATCTTGGCCTTCTAAAGAAAAATAGGATACAAACATAAGAAATATTTTGCTGAAACATGCCCATTTTCCATAAACTTTGCTAATGAAGAATATGTTTTTGAAATACAGTTGGTCACTGACTTATGACCACATTTTGAGTCCAAAATTTTGTGTTGTTAAGTGAGACATTTGTTAAGTAAGTTTGGCCCCATTTTATGACCTTTCTATTCACAATTGTTAAGTGAATCATTGCAGTTGTTCAGTTAGTAACATGGTTATTAAGTGAATCTGTCGTCCCCATTGACTTTGCTTGTCAGAAGGTCACAAAGGGTGATCACATGACCCTGGGACACTGCCACAGTCACAAATGTGAACCAGTTGCCAAGCATCCAAATTTTGATCATATGATCAGGAGGATCTGCAATGGTCATAAGTGTGAAAAAAGGTCGTAAGTCACTTTTTCAGTGCCGTTGTAACTTTGAACAGTCACCAAATGAACAGTTTTAAGTCGAAGACTACCTGTACTTTTCAGGGCGCTTTAAAACTTATTTTAAAACTTAGTGGTATCTTTGAATTAAGTAGAAGATGCTCTTTGAGCAGGGTAGGTGAGTGTTTGTTTGTTTTATGGGTTGTATGTATCTTTATCAGCCTTTATAATAATTTAGATCTGTTTGCTTCCTTGCAAAACCCATATTGTATGTATACATGTATAGCTAAACCTAAAAGGGAATCAGAAGTACTTATTTTCATAAATCTGAGGCTGTGTACATATATGTATGATGAAAAAACCTTTCATGCATGCAAATAACTTCTTCCCTTTTGAAAATCTAAGCATGAAAGAAATGTTGCAAAACATATGTTATAGATTTAAAACGATATCCAGTCTTAAGAATTGTAATGTCACTACATTTAAATGCAGTTAACTTGGCAGTTAAAAGAAACAGCTATCATGTGGAAAAGTTTAAAAAGTACCCTAAGGGAAGAGTAGCATAGGAGATTAGGAAAGTATTATGTGTTCCATAATTTAACAAGACATCACAGAACTAGGGTAAAAATTAGCATATATGACTTACTTATTAAAAAGAAATGTCATGGAATAAAATTTTAAAAAGCTGTTTTAGAGAAATCTGACACCCCAAATTACATCCAAATATGCTATATACAATAGTAAAAGAAATACATTGTTTTTGCTTAGTCATTTTGTGGCCACTCCTAATATTATTAGCATATTAGTAGCACATTTTTAATATTATTATTTTTCACTGGAACAGAAAATATCAAGATTTCCTGAGGTATTTGTTTGGCTCTTAAGTGAGTTTTGCCCCATTTTATGACCTTTCTACTCACAGTTAAGGAATCATTACAATTCAGTTAGTAACATGGTTATTAAGTGAATCTGTCTTCCCTTTGGAAATTAGGAATTCATTTAGAAAGGTGACTACTCTTTCCCTTTCTCCTTTCTATGCACACACACACACACACACATACACACACACACACACACATTATATATAGGCTGTATGTTTTTATTTTAGTTGCCATATAGAAAAAGTAATAATTGCAGAGCGGCTGGATTTAAACATTGTCCCCATCATAGTATTAAACCATTCCTGAGATTAGTTGACAGGAGCCTATAAATCTGAAGATACTGTAAGAACTTCCATTGACAGACTAAGTGAATTGAATATGATGCAGTTTATATTCCAGCAATTAAGGGCTCCAACCTTCCTCATCCTTCATAAGTTCTGTATCTTGGCCTACTTGACAATAAACAGTGCTTCAAAAGTTTACCTTGTTAAATGAACACCATCTTGTGCGCTACTCATGTACTAGTAACATGAATAGTCAGTTAGAAACCTGTTGATTTAAGTTAGGTGTTTATTCTGTTTGCCAAATATAAACTAGTGAGAAGAGAGTGCAGTTTCTGATAAATTTGTGCTGCTCAGTTAAATGAAACATTTACTTAATATATCATCCTCTGATGCCTTTGGTAAGTTTCTTTTTAGGCTGGTCTGTTCTGTTTTCTGTGGTACATCAGTTGGTCTATTATGATACCCATTAAAGCAGGTCTCCTGACCTTTTGGCAATAAAACGTTCTTGAAAATATAATCAGCTTTCTGATTTGGAAAACATTTAACATGTTGAAAACAACAGTAAATAACGAGGGGGGGATAGACAGGAAGAGCTGAGGTTTTTTTTTTTTTTGCTACATTAGTCTAACAACGGTTAAAAAGCTTTAGTTGATTTTTTTGTGTAGTTGAGAAAGAAGTGCAAATAAAGGAAGCAGCAGATGGTCCTTTTGTGACTGAACCAAATAAAAGGGGTTTGAGAACAATAATTGTGAATAGGTGTAGTCTAATAAAACACTCAGCCACCTGCTGCCTGCCTCCTTCAAAAAGATTCTGTTGCATATTCTTGGAATTAACTAATAGAATATCCTTGGATTGAATTGAAATATGAGCTTCCAAGAAACAAACAGACCTTTCTTTTATTTTCTCATGTTGAATGCACTGTTTTTTGGTTTTCTGCAAAGCTTTAAAATGTCTTTGTTCTTTGTTTCAACGTTCTCTCTACATGATTGCAATTTGTTGTCTGGCATTTGTCTTAACCAATTAAAATTATTGTCTGAAAAGCCTCAAGTGCCCATCTATTTTCTTTTTGCTGCAAGTTTAAGAATGGCAAAGAACAATTTGATACTTTATTAAGCCTTTCAATTCAGAGGTTAGCTTGCATAGTTAAACCTTGTTTGTTTTGTTTTTGTTTTTAGGGTTTTACTCTCCAGCCTGATTACCAGAATATTATTAATCCAACATCTACAGCTGCACAAGTTGTTACCCAAGCAATGGAATATGTTCGTTCAGGATGCAGAAATCCCCCAGCACAGACCGTGGAATGGAATAATGATTACTGCAGTAATGGGTGAGCAGCCACTGCATGCCACCTGGCATTGAGTAGCATTTAAAACAAAAACTGGACTCAGGCATGGTTTCCATTTTTATACAACAAATATATTCTAGAGGATAACAGAAATGTTAACATAGCTAACAGAAGGATCAATTTTATATGCCACAATTAAAGAAAGAGGTTTTGGGAGAGGATCTTAAACTACAACTAAGATTTAAATTTGAAAAATTCTAGACTGAGAAGGGACAATCACATTAACTTGTATAAAGAGATCTTTGTTAAATAACTCTAGTCAATCTTGAGTCTTGGCTGCCATTGCTCTGTGGCCAAACTTGGGGAACGTGTCAGGCAAATTTAGAAGGGAGATACTATAACTTACATGTAAGGCTGTTGCTTTCTGAACTTTTACAGCTTATGATTACTTCATTTGATAGGTACATTTTGTTAAGCAAGCATAAATTCCACTGAATGAGCCAATTGTTCGTTGAGCCAAAGGGCCTTATCCATGAGCACAAGGCACTCTACTCTTACAGATGGTTTCCTATGTTCATTTGTTTATTCTTTGCAGTACAAAATGTATTTTAACCTCATATCCATCTATAAAATTTCTTGAATCTCAAGAAGAGGTTTTAGAGCAGAGATGTCAAACTCGCGATGTCACATGACATCGCGCAACATATTGGGACGGTTTTGCCATTGCCGGCAATAGGGTGGGTGTGGCTTCCGAATGATGCATCCGGCCCTTGGGCCAGCAGTTTGACACCCCTGCTTTAGAGCATGTAGAAGATGGCAAGTACAATGTCTTATTACATAGGCAGAGTTCCATGCCTGTATTTTTGCTCCTCTAATTGTTCACTTATGATGTCAGACCTACCATCCAACTGGGATTTATGACTCCCACATGTACACTTCTCACAAAGCATTCATTTTCAGGGCATTTCACTGAAGGGAATTTGCTAAGATTATATTTTTACTCAACCACAATACTAATTATAAGAACTATTAATTTGTGGCCTCCCACCACAAAGTGCTATAAAGAAAAGAGGTTTTAAAAATCCCGAACCAGAATAAATATTACATTTGAGAGAATAACCTTTCTGGAGTTTCTTCACACAGGTTTTTCTCCAATTTCAAAAGAACATGGTTTTCTTTCAACAACGTGCTCTCTGTGAAAATAAAGCTTCACCTGAGTTTAATGAGAATATGAAATACAGTATGACTGTTTCAGTAGCTTTAAAAAAAATCACAGCATGGATTCAGAGATTAATACTTGTCCCCACTTACATTTGCTTTTTAATGTGACTCTTAACTTCTTTTTTCTCCCTCCTCCTCTCTTCAACAGGGCCATGCCGAGGGACAAAGCGCTGTATCTTACCTGAAAATATTTTGGAAATGCATCTCTTCTTTTTGCTGAGAAATGCAGGAAAGTCTTTTCATCATGGATTGCTTTATGCAGTCGAGGCTCTTCTGCTTTTATTTAGAACGTATAAGTCGCTAAGCACTTAGGACTATTTTTGCTGGTGGGTCATTCACTCTGGGAAAAAAAAGGTCTTGTTCCTCCACCCCTCCTTTCTTTTTCTCCCTCCTTTCTTAAATGGACATTGCTTTTCTTCCTTCCTTACAGAAGGAGTCCTGGACCATTTGGATTTTGTTGGTTTTCATTTCTGCTGTGAAGTGCTGCGCTAGTAACTGCCTTAGCAACTGTAGATGTCTTGGATAAAAGTCCTGGATTTTCCATTGGTTTTCATAATGGGTGTTTATATGAAACTACTAAAGACTTTTTAAATGGCTTTATGTAGCAGTCATAGCAAGTTGTAAATAGCATCTATGTTTCACTCTCCTAGAGTATAAAATGTGAATGTTTTTTTGTAGCTAATTGTACTTTGAAACTGGCTCATTCCAGTTTATTGATTTCACAAAGGGGGTTAAATTGGCAAACATTCATATTTTTACTTCATTTTTAAGCAACTGACTAATAGTTCTATATTTTCAAACTCTGAAAAGAAAGATGAAAATTATTCCCAAATGATTTTAATTAAACAGAAATTGGCTTTGTGTCATTAATTATACAAAGAAAAAAGTGATATTGGGAAAAGAGCAAACACATTTATTTTGTACTGCCTAAAACTGCTTTTTTATCACTTTATGTGTAACAGTTAGTAAATGTCATTTACATCCTCTTATGTATAAAACTGCCAAATGCTTTCTTGATATTTTATTAGATGCAGAAACAGATTGGAAACAGCTAAATTATAATCTTTACATATTGCTCTGTATTATTGTTTCTTCATCCTGTGTCTGTATTTAATCTTTTTTATGGAAGCTGTTGCGCCTATTTATGAAATAATAAATATAGGTGTTTGTAAGTAAATTTGTTAGCATCTTAAAAAGGATTTTTTTAAAAAAAAAATACTTTTATGGGCATCAGTGTATTTGCTTCTGATATGATTTTTTTTCCTGTGAGATAAATAAAGCCAACCGGCTTTTGTGGCAGAAAATGAAAATAATAAGAAATTATTCTGTACTTCATATGTTTATCTGAGAGCAAACTGAGAAAAAAATTATATTAAATCAGAACTTCTTTTTCTTGCTTGCTTAGTTCAGTCTCGAGCTAGCATGATGATGATTAAGAAGACACAGCGCATCCAAAAACTGTGGTGTCAGAGGCTCTTCTCCTTATTCTCTTCTGTGAAAGGCAGATTTCTGCATACAAGTAGTCCTTGACTTGACCACAATTGAGCCCAAAATTTCTGTTGTTAAGTGAGATATTTGTTAAGTGAGTTTTATCAATTTTATGACCTTTCTTGCTACAATTAATAAGCGAATCGTTGCAGTTGGTAACTTAGTAACTCAGTTGTTAAGTGAATCTGGCTTCCCCATTAACTTTGCTTGTCAGAAGGTTGCAAAAGGGGATCATATGACTTTGAGACACAGCAACGGTCATAAATTGGAACCAGTTGCCAAGAATCTGAATTTTGATCACATGATTATGGAGATGCTGCAAAGGTCATAACTGTGAAAAATGGTCATAAGTCACATTTTTCAGTGCGGTTGTAACTTTGAAAGGTCACTAAATGAACTGTTGTAAGTAAAAGACTATCTATATTCATAGGATTGTGTTGGTTGCAGAGGTCATTCAACTGCTCATAAAGTAGAAAAAGAACAACTTATAGCTGTGCAGCCCCTATAATCTACTTGGATTGCTAGACCAGTGCTATAACTTTGCAGCAAATCTTTACATATTCAAAGAATATCTCACCTGCTCAGAGAAAGGAATAATTATAATGGAGAGAAAGGCCACAAAATTTATTACTGTTATGAAAACACAAAGTAGAGTTAATTATCCTTTGGGTATGACGTGGCAGAAAAAAAGTGATGCATTGCTTCTTTTTTTTGCTGGCCCAATAGGAGAAGAAAAAATGAAAGGCCAAAAGTGAAGATGTGCAAGGACTATTATCACAGATAGTGAAGAATAAGCAGCTTTGATAAATCTGTCTCAGATTTTAAGTGTGCAGGCAAGTGAGAGGAAGGATGAATTATTAATTTATGCCAGTGTTTCTCAACCTCAACAATTTTAACTTGTGTGGATTTCCAAGCCCTAGAATTCTCCAGCAAGAATAGCAAAGTCACTGGCTATTTCCCATCTGTATAGTGAATATATATGAAACTATTCTAAGTAATGACTGGTCAACACTCTTATTTTTTAATAGCTGACTTTTCCCATTATAAACTATATAGCATCAATAGACTTGGGGTGATATTCTGTCTACTTACTCTTGATTAGGATCTCTGACACAGAAGGAAATTCTCAAAATTTGGAAAAATAGGCTTCTTTTTATAAAAGTGAACGATATCTGACAATTTCTGTTTCTCTCTTCACCAAAGTTGGAAACTCCTTAGATAAATAATAATACCTAATATAAAAAAAAATCTATAGTATTTATCTTTGCAGTAGACTTAACAGCATTTAAAAGCAAAAAAAAGATATAATTATCCATCTTTTATTATAAAAAACAGAACCAAACCACTTGGTAGGAAATAAATCCACCAACTATCATCCTAATGTTCCCCAAAAAACTTTTAAGCTATTCTGCCAAGCAGTTAGATTCTGCTTCATATATAAAATAGAGACATTATAATAATTAGTAAAAGAATGTTATTCAAATGCCCAAGAAATACAGTATCTTTGGTTTGATATAAACCTAAGCAGAGTACAACCTTGAAACATATTGACATGTAAAAACTAATAGTGAAAGACAAATGTGATTATTCAAACAGCTGTAGATGAGGCCTAATTTTATTATTTTTAGTCTGTAGAGGAATTCACGATTGCACTTAGTTTATTTGTCTTTATATCGAGTTGTTTATCGGCACTCATAATTAGCTAATGTTTTCCATTAATATTATTCTAATAAAACATTAAATCCCACTGAAATTAATGCTAAAGAAGCTCAATAAGTAACTAAGTGAATTAGACTTGACAGGGTTTGATGGGAAAGTCTTATTCTATCGGCATCTTTTTATAGAAGATTTAGAGACACAACATAATATTTAATTTCAATCTGAAGCATAGTCCAAACTAGAAACACATATTAATGATAGTTAAATAACATATGCATGAAGATATTGATTCCTAAAACTACTAGAGTATCAAGCTTAAATAGAACATTATGAAAGTGCAAAAGTTGCTATTATATCCCAGAAAACTGAGAGTTTTATGTCCAGGAAACAGTAGGATACACTCTTTAATTATGTAATAGAACCCTAAGAATTAAAACCACAGCATGTAAAATAATAACCGCCTACTGAAAAGTATAACTTTACAAGTATGAATGTTTTGCAAAAGGCTGGATGACATCTATAGATAATCAATTTTAAATTGAAACAGCATTTTTCCTCAAAGTACACCAGCATGCATTGCATCTATAATGTAATGCACTATGCCAGTGGTGGCGAACCTGTGGCGCGGGTGCCAGAGGTGGCACTCAGAGCCCTCTCTGTGGGCATGCATGCCATAGCTCCAGTCCTAGACCTTCAGCTGGGTTTTATAAAATCTTTTCGCTTTAGGCCATGTGCAAAAAAAAAAAAAGGTTCAATCAGTCAATTTCAACTTCTTGCGGGAAAAAAAAGATCTTGCAAAGTTGGAATTGATTGATTGAACTTTTTAGTCCCACCCAGTCTGCCGCTACCACTGCAGCCATGCCCACCCAATGGGCCACGCCCAGCCAATGGGCCACACCCAGCCAATGGGCCACACTCACCCAGCACTCGACGATGCACAAGTGGATGTTGGGTTGCAGTTTGGGCACTCAGTCTCTAAAAGGTTCGCCATCACTGCACTATGCATTCTTTTAAAAAATAATTTTGCATGAGTGGCAGACACACACAGCTCCACTCAAATGGCTTGCAAGTGCACATATGTGCATGCAAAGCTCCATTTGCATGAGTGGAGGATACTTACATTCACACATGAAGCTCCACTCGTCTGAGCGGAGGATGTTTGCATGCAAAGCTCCACTCATGCAAGCGGAGGGCACTTGTGCTTGTGTGCAATGCTCCACTCACACAAGCGGCAGGCACTTGCACTCACACAAAAGCTCCACTTGTGTGAGTGGAGAGCACATCACCACCACTCACAGGACTGGAACTTCACGCATACGCTCTTGCCCATCTCTCCGGCAGCCCAGTTTCATACAGGCCGCAACCTAGTAGTGGGCTGTGGACTGGGGTTTGGGGACCCCTGATTTAGACAAAGTACTTCAGATCTTATACAAACACAGTAACTCTTTATGAGTTGCTTTATGAGTCAGTTTAACATTAATAAATCTCTTTAATGCAGATGCTCCTTTTGAAGGTTCATATGGAAGCCTGGGGGAGGAAGGGGGATACTTTTATTAATAGCAGAATAATGTTCTGCTTGTGCCCACATGCAATTTGAAGCCCAACTTTTAAATAATTTTCAAAGTGTTCATATCTCTAAAACCCAGAAAATAGAACAGGGCAATTCTATCATAATTTCTCTGGGTATCATTGGATAGGATTGATTGAGTTTGATCTTCATTTCTGAAAGTCTATCTATACAATAAGAAGAATTTAATATTTATAATCTTTCCAAAGCTTTGGTCATCTTCAGGACTATCCTCACTGAAAGAGGATAAATAAGCAATTACATGCCACAAATATTTTAGCTATTACATTCCCATTTTGTGGATTTAATCATCATGGTAGGCCATTTAAAAATGAAACAAAACTTAATAATTAAATCTAAAGGTTCACATATTATGCAAATATAAGCACAAAGTCTTTATCTGATCTGGTCAAAAAGCTTACACAAACACCATCTATTTAGTATAGTTTTCTCGCTAATAGTTTTCTTTGT